TCACCTGAATTATTTTTTTTACTTTCATTCCTACTGCTTTCTAGGGTACTCTTCTGGTTTGGAGAGGCGGTGGCGCCCAGGGGACAGAGATGCAGACCGGCTTGGGACATGTTTGGGTGGGATGTCAGATTCCTTTCTCCTGGGGACAAAAAGTCAGGGGCAAGTGTACTTTGTGGACAAATCTGCATATACAGAACGAATAATACTTCAAACTGGGAAGAGGCCTATCTTATAAGTCTGTCAAACTCTTTACGTGTGTGTCCTTTAGCAGGAAAGGACAAAAAGGGATATTACCAAATTAGTTTCTCAAAGTAGTTACCCCAAAATAGAGACTGGGCAGGATACAGTCATTTCTGACTCCTGTCAAAGGCAGCCAGTCACTTTTTCCATCTCAAACATGTTATTAGGAAAATGGTTAGTCATTCTACTGATGTTGCTCTGTATCTTTCAGTTTTTCATTATATTTCCATTTCTTTTTCCAGTAGCAAAATCTGATAAAACATGAGTGGAGAGGTGGCTATGCATCACTGAGTAAGCTTTAGACAGTGATTTTGTATGGACCCTTATACTATTCTTTATAGAACTATATAGTCTTGGGTTTGTTTTTTTTTATTTGTTTTTGCTTTATAAAAGCTTTACTAGAAGAAGACGAGTATAATTAGTTTAAAAGGCAAGACAAATTAGTCGGCATAAAAGTGTGTCTTCAGGCTCCATTCCAGAAAGTTGTCCCAATCACTGACCTACAGACCTTGTCCGTTGTTTACTGGGGTTTCCATATGAAAAATCTATTAAAATAAATATTATTTTAAAACATATAAAAACATTAATAAGCAGCCCACCAATTAAAATGTAATTGGTTGCATCCTCTGTACAACAGCAGCCTCAAAAACAACTTAGTCATTGATTTTAAGAGCATTCCTACAAAATAACCAACGTGGAAAATTTCATTTTAAATTTTCTTCTGTAATGAGAGTTGCTATAAATTGATTTGACCACACGGTGCTGCAGAAACACACTGTGCAGACCCTTGACAGGCTGATCTTTCAAACCCAAGTTTCAGGTGCAACTTAGCAAATCTTTTCCTTGAGCATCAGGAACATGCATTGATACAAACCCACTTTTACAAGGACAACTATGGAAAGCAGAACTTTCTGCATCTCAGATTCTTGTAGAAATCATCAGCCATTCATTAAATGTACACCGGGTTCAGAGTAAGAGTTTAATAAGGTACTTGAGGGCAGTTAAGATTATATTTCACAGTGTTATGTAGAACTCCGCACCTATGTTAAATCTGATGTACTGAATTTCAGCCAGGATAGACGACTGGTGGCTGAATAAAACTCCATAAAATACTGGTTTATATTTAAAACTCCTGACAAATCCTTCCTGGACACAATAACAGGCACCATTCCGAAACAATTATTTTCTCCAGTATTTTTTCTTTCAATTATAATGTAGAACTCTTACAGTCAATTATCTAACAATTTAGAAGTTTATAACAAGGAAACAAAAAAGTATAAATGTCCAGAGCTGTTTGTGAATATGCAAATTAAAACTTACAAGGTATGAATTTTAAATAGAAAAGATTTTTTTTTGTCCTAAATGTAATCTAGTCCTTGAATTAAAAAAGTGTAAGTTTTGTAATTATTTGTATGGCAAAATTTTAATGTAATTTCTTTTGTAGTTTAAAATGTGTAACTAAACTAAATGTGCCTTAACTATCTTTGAATGAAATAATATTTGAGAAGTTAAATAAGGTAAACCCTGTCCAGTAAACTTGGTGGTTTGTACTAACACTTTCTAGCATACAGCACCATCAATTTCACCTAGCACAACCAACCAAACAAGCAGAAAAAGCAAAAGGAAAACATGTTTCGTTCAATAGAGACTATTTCATCATCAAAGACGCACTTTAAGGGCTATATTCAGTGGAAATGGATGCTGCCACACCTTCTAATTTAACAGGGTGGAAGGTTTTCCTCTGTTGCCAAGAAAACCTTTTGACAAGTCAGGGCTTTGAGCTCAATAAGAGTTTTTTTTTTTTTTTTTTTTTACTTGATGCTGAATCTGCCCTTGTCCATAACTCTTGCAGATCTTGCTAATGGCTCCCACAGATTACAAACACAACTGGTCATAAACTTTTAGAACTGACCCTTTAACTTCCTATTAAAGAACTTCCATCTAGAGGACAGGTGACTTGCCCAAATCCTAACTCATTAATAAAAGAGCCAGATGAACATCCAGGTCTCCTCCCAGGACAATCAGTGCTTCAATGTGAGTTACCTTCACTGTTTAGAACCATCCTTTTTACCGCACATTTTTCTGAAAACTGGGATCTGTGGAAATGTCACACATGGCAGGGGTCAATGACAAAAATACTCTTTAACCAAAAGTATGGTGGTGGCTGGACATTGCAAAAACAAAATAAACCTTCTCTATTAGGCTGGACGTTTTCGAAGCCAAGTAAATTTCCCCAATTACCCTGAGTTCCAATAAAAATGCTTATTTTAAAAAACTGAGACTGTTACTTATAAAATGGTGATAGCTGAGATACATCAAATTAACTGTTACTGCTTCCAGAAAATGAAACTGAGGGAAAAATAATTATTTTTGTTCAAATTTTTTTTCCCTGAGTAGTATAATAATGAACCAAGAGTTTAAGTATGATGGTCATTGATCATCTCTGGAGTAGTTTCATGACAACCCAAGAGTTGAGAAATAATAGAAATATGTACTGCATCTTGTTCTGTTGATCAAAAAAGCAGCAGCACATAGTACAACAAATCCCTTTATATTAGCAGTACGTGGAGACAGACCAGTTTTCAAATCTCCTACTGTAAGCAGAAGTGAAGCATTAATCCTTACAACACTCCAAGCAGATATATTCATTTCATAGAGTACAAAGAGTTTCTTCTTGAGGAGAAAAGTCAAGCTGAGAATTAGAATTATTTCTTTAGTTTTTCTTCTAGATTACACACTTATGGTTATAATTTCTCCAAAATTAGAGAAAAGCTATCCAAAAACCTTTTCATACAAAATTAAAAAAACAAAACAAAACAAACCTAGTTGATCCAAGGGGATGAAAATCAGTCAAACTGTATAGATAATGTATCATCTTCAAAGCAACTGGAGAATTCTTAGTCATCTTGCTGTCTGCATGACAGCTCTAAGAGTACATTCATCAAGCAAGAAACAGGTAACAGTGATTTTAGGTTTACAGACTAAGAAATGACATAAGTAACAGAAATAAATAGGGATGATTTATAAATGGCCAGATGGGCTGAAAAAAAGTTTTATTAAGCTTTCTTGTTTTCACTTATGACATGCCTAAGCTTGTCCTTTAAACTCTAAATTTGTTCACATTTTTTTAAAATAGTGATCAGATTCTCTGCAGCATTAATGAAACTGAGGAGACCTTTTGGGGGCAGATACTTTCCATGATTATTCTTTTCTATCCTCTCACATTACACAGCTAGCTTAATTTCAATGCATGGGAAAATAGAGAAAATTTATTTAGCTATCCATCCTTTTCTGGGAAGTTAATGGGGCATGGCTAACCTCAGCAGGTAGAAAAACTTTACCTTTAGAAAAATAAAAACATTTTATGTAAACAAAGACTAGGATATTTCTAACATTTTACAAAAATACACTGATATTTTTGCTGATTAAGACCTCAAAAGTTCCAAGTACATTTGCTGTTCCTTTCTCCTTTAAATGAAAGACTGCACAGCTTAAGCCAGAGAGTGGTTCTGCCCGTAACTTCATCTGCAAACTTATTCAACAAAAATATATAAGACTCACCAGAGACAGACGATTTGCATTTCATTAAAAATCTAAGGCAAAAAAAGAAAACAAACTGGTCAAATAAAGGTGAAATCCAATAAAAGATTGGTCAAATGAAGGTGGAGTCAGAAGGCCCTGCCCACCCTCCTCTCTCCCAGCCCACGATCCTGGGATTTGGGATTTACTACCTATGGCTAAAGCCCTGATGGGATTAAAGGAGACATCCAGTAATTGGAGGTGAGATTAATTGTGGTGAAAATGGCCTAGAGGATAAGAGCACATTTTTCTACTTTCAGAATCTAAAACTCATTAAAGAGACCTAAGAGCAGGGGCGCCTGGGTGGCTCAGTCATTAATTGTCTACCTTCAGCTCAGGTCATGATCCCAGAGCCCTGGGATGCGGGGCGGGGGGGCCCCGCTGGGCTCCCTGATCGGTGGGGAAGCCTGCTTCTCCCTCTCCCACTCCACCTGCTTGTATTCCCTCTCTCGCTGTCTCTCTCTGTCAAATAAATAATTAAAAAAAAAAAAAAGAGTTAAGAGCAAAATTTTAATGTGAGAATTTAAGAGTTTAGAAATTACTTTCTTTGATTCTCTAAACATGAGGGTCAGACCCAATGACTGTAAGCTTTCACGTCCCTAAGAATTTCTCAATTATGAGTTACGCTGTCAAGGATAAGGAAGTGATTAGACAGATGGTCACCTTACTCCGTGATTTCTCCTTCATAGCCCTCGTGCAATCTACCACGATTATCTTCATAATCCCTCTATAATTCTATATAATTTATGCTTGGTAAGTTTCATTTAAAAGTCCAACATATTAAGAAGTCATTACACGTTTATGTCTTTACAGAATCACAAAGAACTCAGAGAAAGAAAGGGGGAGAGCACTTCTGCTGAGCACCTGGGCCCTGTCCCACCCAGCCTTGCCATGGCTCCAGCCCTGGTCCACGTGGTGCTTCCCTCATTCATGCCTTCCTTCCTTTGTCATCTTCTCTTGTTCAGTTTTCTTTCTTTCTTTCTTTTTTTTTTAAGAAAATCAGCTTAAAATATCACATTACCAACCTTTAATTATGTTGAAGAAATTCTTCCTTGGTGGGCTCTGACTGACACAAAGTAATTAAACTCTCCAGGACAATAAGCTACCCAGAATTTGGCATCCATTAACTGTTTACGGTTTCACTACGTACTACAGTCATTTGAGATACTTTAAGAAAACCCTTCAAATACTGAGATGTTTATTGCATTTTTAAAGTGTCCACAATCTTAAATATCCTGTTTCAGATTCCTCCAGAATTCCTTTACAGCACATGACATCAAATACTGAAATAGTGTTCTCACAATATTACACTCGAAAATACCATTTAGGAACAATATTTTAGGAAATAGAGGGTTTAAGGCAAGACATTCATTTGGAAAAGGTAATTTCTCTCAATCATCTAGATCGACAGGGTTAGTTTTCCACCTCTTCAGTGCCTTGGGATACGCAACATACATTCAGCAACAGGGCACATGTATGACCCTACGGACATCTGCTGAGGTCCTGAGTGCCCATTGAAATAATGGAAATATTTTTATATAAGGCGTGGCCCACAGGGACATGGCATGGGAGGGGTTATTCACTCCATTCCCAATCTGGTATACAGGAAATTCCCCACCAAATCCGTCCCATTTGCCCCCCCACTTCATCATTTTTCAAACGAACACAAAGCCCTCGAAAAGGTGCTAAGATTGGTTTCTGTTAACAGAGACAAAATAGCCATCAGAGTGTTTTCCCCTTCATTGCTTTAATGATGAATGTCTAGAGGCTATTTCTTGATTCTGATTGCAAACATTGTTTGTTGTGGAAAAACTATTCTGTCCCAAAGAATTTTCTCTTTCATCACACTGTTTGGATCGAGACAGCTGCACGTTTTCATGTGGAGTCTTTCCTCTTTGAGTTTTTTTCACCGGCAACAATAATACTAAGATACCAGCAATGTGCAGGCAGTAATACCAGGAGCTAAAAGAAAAAGGACAGAGTTTACTTTATTAAATTTTGAGAATGATTCCTTAGCAACGGCATCCTTGTCAAAATGTCACAGGTCCTGCATAGGATGTGCATATTTACTCCATTAATTGGGCATTCCCGCCCCCGGCCCCTGCCCCATGACATGAAGCTCTCCAGCTCTGCAAGTGGGTATTTATAAAGCACCCTATAAAACCAGGCCACTTAAAAGCACGATACTAGATATCGTATTATATTCCTCTGTAAGGGTCATAAGTCCATGGCTACACAGAACAAAAACAAAAAGGTACTTATTAGCAGCTGCAGTGACCTGAAAATAATCTCTCAGTTCCACAGAACTGAACATTAAGCAAACAAAGAGAACGCAGAGCTACTCAAGACCTGAATGCTCTGGCCTCCTCCGCTGTGATGGTCCCTAATCAAGTTACAGATATTCCAATGATGTGAGTAATAGATAATATTGCCTCTTGATGGTTGCTGTCACATAATAAAGACCATGTTATTAAAAATATTATTAGAAGCATCATTCTTAAAATCAAATATAAATCAAATGTGACCTTTTAGAATTGTAAACTCAAGTGATTGTGAACAAAGTACCTGGGATAGAAAATCTAACCAACTGCTCAATCACATGTAAATTTATGTGATCATTTTGTGAAAAGGGGAATTTTAGCTGGAGTTCCTTGATGTCTTTCTGTGGGAGCATCGCCACATTTGGGCAACAACTTTTGACCACTCTGGGCTGTCGTTCTCAATGCAAGGGTGGTGGAAGCTCTATGAAAGGTGAAATTTTTGATCTCAAAGATATCACTAACACAGCGAGAGTGGAATCCGGTGGATGAGGAAGAGAATAAAGAGAGAAATCTAACAGGGAATGCAAAACAAGAACTTCTATAATACAGAGAAGACAAAAGATCCGTGAAACATCAAGGAATAAGAAGGGAACAAACTCATGAAAAAGAAGTAATTCAATTTTCTTTTGGCTAAAGCAATTAAGAGAATTAACAATTCCTTGTAAAGGATAAGCTACACATTTTTCTTTCTTTTTTTAAACTGCTCTGTCATACTACCTATTGTTCCTCTTATTTCAAGTTCCCCTATCCTTTCCTTTTCGGAGTTAGCCTTCCGACAGCCTGAACTTTTGGTGCCCAGACTTTACCAGTACTTACTCGTAATTATCATAAGGCATATTTTGCTTCCGCTCCCAGAATATTCCCAGTGACACATAAGCCTCTGCTTGAATACATACACTCCTACACCCTGACCCCAGAGCAGGGGTGAGCAAACTCCAGCCTGCAGGCTGCATCTAGCCTGATGTCACTGTCTTAACCAGAGGTACACGGACCTATAACATGGTATTAGCCCTGGGTGTACAATATAATGATTCAATATATGTACATATTGCAAAACAATCACCGTGGTAAGTCTAGTTAACATCCAAGTGTAAAAAGAACAGCCACCCTTTCCAGTTAAACCCCTGAGAGATCTGAGGCCGTGCTCGCCCCGCTGATACTTCTCTGTCTAAATCACACTCCTCTGAGGGGTGAGTGGTGGGAATCATTCCATAGAAAACCTGAGACTTGCTGATTTAAGATGAAAAGGTAACTATAGAAAGTAAGGGGGTGGTGCTATTTTTCTAAGCCATGCAATAGCAAAGCGCTCGCTCTTCAAAACAAAGTGGTTCCCACTGGCGTTTCTGTGAGAGTGACACTTACCTGTAAAACATGAACGATGGGTTTACGGAAAGAAGTACGAATGGCACAACTGTGTAGCTTATTGCTATTTGAGTCACTATCCATGTCAGAACATCATACAATAATTTCAGTTGGGGAGGTTTGATGAAATAATGTCTAAAGTTACTTCTCATCTGGAATAAAGAAACAAAAATATTTGCTTCATCTTTCATATTGTTTATAAAATCACACTGACCGTATCTGCTGTTTCAAGGATGAGGAGTGACTGCTATTCCCACGCTCAGCTGGCGGACGTCTACAATGGGGCCACCCCCGCGGGAGAAGTCAACTCGGTTCAGGAAAAACGAATAGGCATGTGTGTAAAAGATATGGAGAGAGCCGAATGTGGGAATGTGGGAATCCGGGTAAAGGGCATGTGGGAGTGCTTTGCAACTTTTCTGTAGATTTGAAGTTGTATTAAAAGTTTCTAAAAAAAGTTAAAAATAACACTCCTTAAATCGTATTTGGTAAAGTAGAGTATGTAAATAAAGTTCTGTCTGTTTTCACCTTTTCTACTACAATGAAATGAGACATCCTTCCTCTCCTTTAAGCTCTGCGTTGGTGAAAGACAGATGGGTATCATACACTGAGCTGAGGTCAAAAGACACTTAATCAGAATAAATGGCAACAATGCACATTACTCTCAAGATAGGTGTTTCCTAATAACTATTTAAATTTTTTTTAGCTTCCAAAAAAGTAAAAACATTTCAGTTTTGAAATGCACAAACCTAACCAAACATTATTTCCTCTTTTCTACTGTGTTCCCTGCTTTTCTTGTAACATGTTCAGAGGTGAAACACAGCCCTGCAGCGAGGATGCCACCGGGTTTTTCAGAAGTGACCTGCTGGAATTTTTTTTTTTTTTAAAGATTTTATTTATTTATTTGAGAGAGAATGGGATAGAGAGAGAGCATGAGAGGGGGGAGAGTCAGAAGGAGAAGCAGACTCCCTGCTGAGCAGGGAGCCTGATGCGGGACTCGATCCCAGGACTCCAGGATCATGACCTGAGCCGAAGGCAGTCGCTTAACCAACTGAGCCACCCAGGCGCCCCAACCTGCTGGATGGTTAATGGCGCTCCCATAGAGAGACCATGATTCCTAGTGGCCGGGTTGGATTCCGGCACCCACCACGTCTTGCCCGGTTCATGGCCACAGCAGCTACCCACCCTCTTCCATTCCATCCATCGATGGCAAATCAATTCTCCTGAGGCATGGCTTTCGGCATTCCATCCCCCTGCTTAAAAACCTCACCTGGCCCCCAGGTACGCAGACAGAATGAGGATTAGGCCCTTTCCCAGGCTGGTGTTCAAGTTCTTCTAGGACTACCCTTCCCTCTCCCTCCCCTGCACTCCTTTGCTCTTCCAGAATTATCTACCCCTTAGGTATTCATGATGTCTCTGCTTCAACCAGATTTACTTGTCATTTCCAAACACACTGGGCACTTTCAAACTTGGTTCTGCTAATGTCATTTCCATGCCTAAAATGTCACGTTCCGCCCCCATCACACTTCACTCACTTTTGAAATAATGTTCATCTTTCAAAGCCCAAATCCAACTAAACTTCCCTAATGAGGCCACCTCGGGTCAACCCAACCAAAAGGATTTCTTTCACCTCGAAACAACTACGTTACTTACTGTAAAACCCATGGGATGTATCACACATGCCTCATGCTGTATGCACGCACACATACACACACGCGCTCACACACGTACATACGCCTTATGCCCCAGTTAGACCACAAACGACCAGAAGGTATGGCCCTTCGTTAATTCTTCTCTGAGACTTCCCTCCTATACCCCCCATGGTACCTGAAAATTGTATAAATATCTGCTAGTTTGTTAAATGAAGTCTTCTCCCCTGTAAGTGCTGTAAGAAGCCTGTGCAAACACCGTTTCTGTCATGTTACTTGCCTCTGACTTTTGAGGACTTACACTAAATTGTCCTTCTTCTTTGTCCACCCATGTCACCAACCTAATTTCTCAACTATTTCCCAAAATATTACTCCAGGTTCCAACCAGGCCAACACTCTATAAAGAACTGTGTCCACCAGCCCAGGAATGGCCCAACCACTCTGTTCATACTCCACTCTTCATCTAAAAGAGGACTCAAACGTGACAGCTTTCAGGAAACATTTCTAAAATAAACCTACCCTTCTGATCCTCTTTATTTAACTCAGTTTTTAGCTCTCGTTCAGAAAATTCTGTCAAGACAATGAACACTTTGTGGGGTACGTCCCATGTGCCAAGTCTTCTCCTCAGATGAACCAAGTGTGGAGCCCCCCGGGAGGGTTCAACAAACACGTGAGGCACACACCTCACTTCTGGCCACAAGGCCTGCCTGTGGAGGGGTCCTCAGCCTCCTCCACCAGTGCAAAGGGACCACCACCGAAGTAGGAAATGGAATTCTGGATACTCACAGCTCGCGCTGCCATTGTCATCACCATTCCTGTCAGAAACGTCAGATAATATCCTGGATACACCCCATGCCAAATGGCAGACAGAATGAATGTCTGGATAGTTGGACTCAAGGAGGCTCGTTCATAACAAACCCTAGAAGCCAGAAAACCACGGAGAGGCAAGGGCAGTGAGTTTAGATAGTCCACAGTGATCATTCTTTTCTTACCTGACAGGACAGAGAGTAACCAGGAAAACAGCCACCACTTAACATCAGCAATAACTTGACCTGTGACCTCAGGGAGGTGACAGCTATTTTCCTACTTAACTAGGAAAATAAATTTGATTTTCATCTTTTTATGGTATATGTAATAGCTAAAGTGAGCATTGCCAGTGTTTAGAAATCTACACGATTTACCAAAAAATCTTTAATATTAAAGATTTTTTATTTTACTTTTTTAAAAATTTTCTTTAATGACTTGTTTAATTAAGAACTTTCAACTGACCTAATAACACTTCTTTCTGGCAAGTCTGGCTGTGGCTTAGTCTAAAATTTCTTTGTAACAGGGTAAAGCACTCAGATGAAAATAAAATTTTCCAAAGGTATCAAATTTATTTTTTCTAAGTCATCTCTATGCATGGGGCTCAAACTCACGACCCCGAGATCAAGAGTCACGAGCTCCACTGCTGAGCCAGCCAGGTGCCCCAAAGGTGTCAAATTTAAAACACAACAGTAACAAAAATCACACAACAGATTAGCTGAGAGAATCTGCAGCGAACGGAGAGACTGCAAGGTACCACGAAGTGACACTATTGTATGGTGGGCATTTCGAGGGATAAAGATACTCAACTTGTCACAAAATAAAGGACATTCCCAAAAAAGGTCACTTGACACAGAACAGTGCTTAGAGCTGTACCGTCACAGGGCAAGATTCCATAAAGTAAACTTAAGGTAGAGTAACAGGTCTCACTGGGAACAAGAGGCAGAGTCACCGTGAGTTTCTGTGCGATTTCATAACGGGATGTTGCTATACTTGGTCTGCCTGTATCTCCCCCTTGGCCATGCGACCAACTCCTATCACAGATCCCAGAGGGTGCCCCCCGCCCCTGCTCCCGCTCCCGCTCCCTGCTCTTCCTCCCTACAGGGAATGGTGCGTGTAGGTGACGCTGCTGTGTTTTTAACAAGATCGCGAACTCTCTGGCTGCAGGGGCTGAGTCTTTTTGTCGGACTCATCCTTGTATCCCGTGCCTAACATGCAGAAGCACCTGTCAAACTGAAATATTTTAAAACTGGAACTGTTCTGGAAAATCTAGGGCATCTGTAGAGTGGTTGTGTAGCTACTTCGTTTTTACTTAACACATCTCCAGGGAATGAGAGTAGGAGGACACCGGCGATCTCAGACCCCGTAAAGATGCCAGGGAGGGCGCACCGAGAGGCCGGTGAGAGCTACGTTCACTACTCAGGCTGAAAAGTTCTCACATCTGATAGACTCTCGCTTCAAGGGATGTTAGCAGTGTTTCCTGGTTAACACCAAGGTCCCAATGTCACTCAACACACTGTTAATTTAATCAAGAATCGGAACTCAGTGAAGCTCAACCTCAAGGATTAGATGTCATAGCGCAGCTAAAGCCTGTTCTTGAAGAAACATACCTTTTGAGCCAAAGAGCTGTCTGAATATTCCAATTATCAAGAAACATCTTGAAACTTGTTGACATCTGAAAAACAAAAGAACTTTTTTTCTTTGGCCCACAAAATGATGAAGCTTGAAATAGAAGGAGTAACATTTTATTGTGCTAAAAATAAGTTACTTGACATTGATGGTTAGGGTACTGATTTCTTTCCTTAATACTGCTTTTCTAATACAGTAACATCATTGTGTAAGTGGAATTTGTTTATTTTAGAGACCATCTACACGAGATAAATGGATTATCACCATTTTCTCCTATATGTTAACAGTTACTGGGGTTGTCATAGGATGATCCCAAAGACATTCCTGATATATAAATGACCTTTCAGTGACCCTCCAATGACTCTTTCACCGGGGACTAGACGTCCCATCAAGCCACGATCCCCTCGCCTCCATGCTTCTTCAGCCACCATCTGTGGCCACCCGGAACCTTCGCCCCACCTGGAACCAGCACCGTCCTCCCAGCTGTCCGGTCTCGCCACACAAGCCTCTCCCATAAAAGCTTCCCCTTGACCTCAGAGGGAACTTCTGGTCCCCTACCCCTCCCTCCCTCGGTAACTATCTCCTCCTTGCATCTTCACTTCCTTCCCACCATGTAAATTCCATGGTCCATTATTTACTACTCTCATCAAAATGCTGGGTGTGTTTGTTTCTTTTTCCTTTTAACTCACCTCCTTATCAAAATCCTAACCCCAGATCAACTTTACTTTCCCCCTTCCCTACTTATAACCTCTGAATCTGGGTGCAGAATATCATACAGCCCTTGAGACTTCTGTCCGAAATCCATCCTTCTTGATCTCAGTTGAGGCTTCAACCTACCAGGCAATCCTTGCTTCCCTAAACAGTGTATTCTCCTCTTCCTGAAAACAGCTATTGGATTGAACCATTTTAAACTGGTTTTTTTTTTTTTTGCGGGTAAGTCAAAAGCAGGTAAATATCAGCAATTTCAGGAGATCCCAACTAGTACTTCAAAAGTTCCCCACTTTCGTATCTCTGGTCCTATCCCTTCCTCCCCATCTTCCCTCCCTTCCTCCCTCCCAACAGGTGATTTTGCCTCTAACTTTACTGAGATGATATAAACCACCAGACTTCAAATTCTCACATCAAAACTACAAAGTCAGCAGCCTCCGCAGTTCCCTTCCTCCGTCCCTGGTTCCTCCTCCAACACGGTCAGTCCCTGCACCTGGCCTCTTACCTCCCTGCTCTCCATCTTCTTAGGGACCTCGTGTGTCCATCAGCCTCTCTCTCCCTCTACCATATTTTCACACTGTCTTCCAATAGTCTAACTGGTAAACGTGTCAATCTCTCCATTTTAAAACAAAATTAAACAAAACAAAAATCCCCCCTTCAATCACCCGTTCCCTGCAGCTGTGGCCTTATCTCTACCCTCCTTCCCTATACAGGTCATGAATGCCTAGGAGTTGTATAATCTGGCCTTTACGCCTATCCCTCCCTGGACACTGTTACCACAATCACCAATAAACTCCCCTGTTGTTACAGCTGATGGCGCTCGTGAGCCCTCCTCTGGCTGCACATCTCAGCAGCCTTTTAACACTGACTACCGTTCCCTCCTTCAGAAAAACGAACTCCTTTATTCTTCACTTCCTCTTATACCATGCATTCTCAACGAGGGTGATATTGCTCCCAAGACGATAAAAACCAGTTCTTGGAGGCAAAAAGTCTTATTATTTTCATGTATAAAGCACACGTATACATATAGTACATACACTGATACACGGTGTATGCGGTATTCAATTTCGTGGGGGCTTGATTAGGAAAAACACGTCTCAAAAGTCTCCACAGGGAAGCAATAATGAACAGGAAGTTAGAAACACTGCCATGTATTCATCACTCAATTTCCACAATTATCAGTTTTTCCTTCCCCTTCCGCACTTTATGACTGACAGTAAGAGAATTTCAAAGCAAATACCAGACATCTTGGTTCACCTGTAAATAGTTCAGAATTTACTGGACTTTTAAAAAACCAAGATCAGACCTAACAAAATTCTTACTCCTTAATATAATCATCTAATACTCCTTTTGTATTCAAGTATCCCTGATTGTTTAAAAACATGTTTTTCCGGTTGGTCTGTTCAATCGTGATCCAAGCAAGGTGCACACAGTGCATCTGGCTAAAACTTCTTTTAAGCTGTAACAGCCCCTCTCTGCCCGCCCCCTTTCCATGTCATTTATTTGTTGGGAAAAAATGGGTCATTTGTCTTGCAGAATTCCCCACTTCTGGATCTGGTGTTTAACTTACTTCTCCATACTCTACACTCCCTCTAAATTTAGCAAGACCGAAAGACCTAACCAGGTTTAACTGTCTCAGCAAGTGCTTGAGAGACGGTGCTGTATTTCCTATGGCAGCCCGTCACAGGCGCTTAATGACAGACTGTCCCACTTGGAGTGACGAGCCTTCAGTGATGCTAAGGTGCGTCGGTGGGTCCTGACCCATTCACTATAAACAGACTGTCTGTCAACCTTTCACTTAGAGTTCTGGTAGTTTCTACTGTTGGAGTAATTCTCGCAGGCTGGCAAACCGATGTCCCCTTTTCGTTCTGCTCTTCTCCCTCTGGCTCTTCCTTCTGACCTTCCTGACCCGCCTTCCGCAGCCCAGCTACAAGCACAGGTGCTCTGGGGAGCGGGGGGTTCTCATCCCTTCTGGGCCTCTCAGTGCTCTCTCGTGGCTACTCGCGTGGTTCCTCCCAAAACTTGAAATGCTACAGGCTGACAGCTCCCCAAGTAGGATCTCCAGCTCAGGTGTTGTGGCTGGAGTCTGGTCATTTATCCGCCTGCTGGACAACTTAGCTGAGTCTGAAATCTGAACACACAGTACGTTCCCCTTCAAACCTGTGCCTGTTTTTTGTTCCTTCTCGCAGCGAAAGGCATCGCCATAAAACTGGCTTAAGCCAGGTATCTGGTCCCGACGCGTAACTCACTCTCTCTTGCTGATGACACTGTAACACCGAGTTCTGCTGAGTCTCTCGAGCAGCGCTCCCAGGTGTTGATGTCTCTCCATCCCCACTGGCACTCCCCTGGTTCAGGCCACCATCACTTTGGATAAACACAACACCCTCCTAACAGACCACTCTGTCCCACGAGGGCAACTCATTCTACCTGATGCAACCAGATCGCTCCAAAGCACAGCTGTGGTCACCTCACTCGTCTGCGTAAAACTCATCCACAGTACTCCATCGCTCTTTAAGAGCTCCAAACTCTTAATATGGCCTCTGGAAGTATCTGGGCCTGTCTTCAGTTTCTGCAGGCTCATCTGTCACCACTCCCTATGTTGTGAGCCTTACCCTGTCAGGATGTGCCCCCTCTCGTTGGAGTGCCTGGCAACCTCCTCCTTACCTTTTAGGACTCAGATGAGACATTACTTCCTTCAGGACCCCTCCCTGAGCTATCTCATCCGAGATGGAGCCCATCTTGTAGCACACACCCTGCACCTCTCCGATCACAATCTATCCTTCTGGGCCCCTTTGCCCTGCTCTAGATTAAAGCTCCCCAAGGGCCCAGATCACACCAATCTTACTCACTGGAGCCCCAGTGCCTGGCACACGTGCTGATCACCGACAAATACTGGCTGAATGAGTATTATTAATAAAAAGCCTTCAACACCACTCTTGGGACATCACATCATAACCCATAAAAGCAAAGTATGGTACATAAAGTATCACATGGTAACTAACCTGTAAATGATTGACTAACCTCTATTTGTTGAATTCTCAAATTGGAAATCAAGTCCCAACGAGCTGTTCCATTTTCATCATATCCTCTGAAACCAAAGCCTGCAGCATTATTAATAGCATCAGCTGCAGTAAACAAAGTGAAAAGAGCGTATTAAGAATCCATGTAACAATCTACCATGTTCTCCCAGAAGGTATATGTTATTATATACTAGGATCTTTTGAACAGTAGATTTATTCATTTTCATCTTTATCTGATATTATAATAAAATGGGCCTGGATCCAGTTTTTAGGATATCCTAACAGTTTCTAGGATATTCCCTCGTATTTAGGATATGAGCTGTAAAGTTTGTTTCTTCTAACAGAGGACTCTAATTTTTCAAATTGGTCTTTAACTACATATCCTCAAGAGGGCGCTCTCCCCGCTCGCTACTAAGATACACCTCAACACGTTAACAGTCAGTCCATTCCCAGGCAACTTACCTAAGGTCCATGCAAAATAGTATTTGGGTCTGGCAGCCAAAAGTGAGACATAGAGATAGACGACTTTTGTCGGCCATGAAGCTGTAGCCTGAAAATGCTCATCGATGTTATACTCCACAGGTAATGTTTTAGAGATGGTCAAGTGAAAGAATAAGGAAAGTCCACAGACTAAGAGCTTCTGAATGACTGCGACCTGAAAGAACGGGACAAGATTTCATAAGCTTAATCTATACCCCTTTTAATTCATCTGCTATACTACTGTCAGATTAATCTGGCATAAACTCTATAACTCTCCTGGTCAAAAATCATAAACTACGCTGCACTCAGCATTTCAAGCCCTCAGGGTCTCAGGATAGGAACATGTATGTCCAGCCTTCTCTCTACTACCTCTGGATTAGGGCTCAAGTCACACTAGAAACCTCAATTTATGTTTTCAAAGCTTTCAGTTAAAAAAAAAAAAATACCTGAAAGCAAACACAGGCCTATAGGTGTGGAATACACAAAAATAATCACATGAGTAACTTTTGGGAGTGGATTTCATATTACACACACACACACACACACACACACACACACACACACACACACAGAGCTTATTTTTCCATTGTGCTTTTCCCTGTACTTTCCAAATGCTATGTGTATTTCATGGACATTATTTTTACACTAAACAATTTAATGCATCCCTTTAAGTCTGACAGTTCTCCAATGCAATTTTGTTCACAAATGATAAAACCAAAAGAACTACACACCCAAGAAAAAACGACTTGCATGAAAGACTGGTGGGGGGAAAAAAAAGGCCATTCTTTCCTATATCCTGGTAAAGTTAAATCACCTTAAAAGAATCCAACTCATGGTGTTTTTGTATTTTTAGTAGGCCAGAATATTTCAATCTGACTCAATATAGGGGAGCTTATAGCACCTGCCAAGGGAAAGAAACGCGTGGAAGAAAGGAAAGGCTGCGTCCAGGTAATGGAACATCACAAAATACTTGGATTTTGAGCGTCCAGCATAGTAGTCAAATACTATTCAAATTAACTAATCTGCAAATGAATGTTCCTATTGTCACACTTTCTACAACAGTGTCAAAAGACAGGGCTCAAAGGCAAGAGTCAAAGCACGCGCCAGATTCACTGCATTTCTGAAAACGCCCTCTTCGCCCTGGGCCGCTTGTTAGGAGGGACTGAGCGCCTGAGGACTCCGCTGCAGCTTTCATTCCCATTCTCCTCAAGGTTTTTTTAAAGCTTTCTCTAGTACAATAAGGCCACCTTTTCTTCACCCCTCCCCCCAAATATATAAGCTTTACATCTGAGAAGAGATTTAAAACAGGTAATTAGAGAGAAATTGCAATTGTAAGCACAGTGAGAGGAAACAAATGGCCTCATACATTAACCTAAAAATTGGGTGTATCACCTTAGTGACACAATGAGCAATACTGTGGCCGTCAGACTAGACACACAAGTTTCCAGGTCTCAGTTTCAAAACAAAAACTGAAGTTGCATACACTTGATCTCAACTACCAGGGGGCTCACAAAGGCTCAGGCAATGTGGGCTCAGGTAGCTCGGAAGGCAGGAGTGAGGGCCTAAGCCTGGGAGGCCAGGCATGACCCCTGGTTCCCATCGCCTCCCTGCTTAGTAAGGGGGCACCCTTCCACCATTCCAGCAGGAGGCCAGAAGTTAACTCTCAGAGAAGCTGAACCAGAGAAGATCCAGGCTTAGGGACATGGGTCCAGAGTGGGGGGCTGGGTAAGTACGAGAATGAAAACGGGGAGACTCTGGAGGAAGTCTGCAGCCTGAGAGGTGGAATCTTCAGCCCCCGTGCCTGGGCCAGCCCCAGAAACCAGCTGTCAAGTTTGTATCTACCTCGTAAGATGGCAGAAGACTGAGGGATCCTTCACTAAGAAGCTAAGGAGCCCCAGAGGAAAGTCCTACAGATGTCATGACAGAGACTGACAAGTGCTCCCCAGGAGCCACCCTCCTCTTCTTGCACAACGATGGAATTTGTATATGGGCCCGTCTAGCTAAAGACCACACGTGACTATCCCCTTCACAGCTGAGTGTAGCCACGCGGTCCATGCGATGTTGGCTCGAGTACAGCTCCTGTGGCGAGCCAGCTCACATGGTGGGGATGGGGGCAACGCCCCAAGGATGGCAAAAACAGGGGAGAGCTTGGATCCCCAACCCACGGAGCCGCCACATTACCCATGGACCACTGACACTTCAGATGTCATGGGAGAGACCTTGTTTAGGCCATTGTGATTTGGGTCCTTGTTTCAGGGCCCAAACCTGTACCTGATTTAGATAAAGACAATCAGGAGGTCCCCAACAGAAGGGCCACTGGCTACCTGATTGTCCTACTTTGGATCCTAAGAGTCTACATACTCCAGGGATGCACAAAGAGCTTCCAAATGCCTTTGAGTGATTTGTAAATAACTACCACTTCTGACTATATAGACTTTACACATATGGAATTTACGCTAAAAATATAGTAAGACAGTGAAATAATAGATTAAGAGTATTTGCCCTTGCCAACCTCTGATTTATGATGTCTACAACCCAAAAGAGGAAAAGCCACCTTTTATAAGAGTGAATCCCACAAAAATTCAGAGTGAGGTGACAGAATATATAAATTTGTATTATTCTTTGTTGGGTTTGATTTACTGCAACTCAGAAGTTTATACCACTTGAAATTTTTCAAATATTTTACACCATTATGTCTAGGACCTTGATTCCTAGCTTTTAATCCTCTTTCCAGTATTCCAGAGTAAGATTCTGGAATATGGAAGCTATCTGTATTAATCCTTTCTTTCTCCTGTGGCAGTGAGATCTCTAAAGGCTTTAAGCGGTCAGCCTGGAGACACAAGTAGTCAATGGAAGAGATCTGAATGTACTCAATTTCAAGTCTGAAATTCAAGCCCGTATGATATGGCATTTATCAATTAACATTTAACCAGTAATAAAGTATGAAGACAAAAGCACCTTTTTGGTACAAAACACAATGAGTCACATGGCAGAAAAGAGATAAAATAAGAGCTCTTGTGAATGGGTGCAAATTTCCTCATTCACGCTTCATTTTATAATTAACTTGGAAAGGAAGGTGATCCTTTGCTCCAAAGCCCCACATTCAGAAAAAACATACTAGCCCCCTTTTTTGTCTCATAGTTTTGATCGGCCTAGTTCTCATGGGACTTTTAGCTTCTACCAGATCAAATCCAACAGAAACTCGGCCTACGCAAAGTCTCAGAGCCTTTCTTGATAAAGGAGCATCTATCCCAGCAATCCAAAGGAAATAAAGCTTATGTTCACTTGTGAGGCAATCTGGCACGGACTTCGTACTGGGACTGCCTGGGTTTGAATTCCGGTTCTCCTGCTGCCAGCCTGGGACATCTCAGTCAAATCACGTAGGCCTGACTTCCTCATCTGTTAAGCGGTCAGAGTCACAGCACCTACCCTGTGTTGTGAGTGCTGAGAGAGTAACTGTGAGGTGTCCCCAACAGGGCCAGGCACACGGGAAGTGCTTTCAAAGTGTTAGCTATTGTTAACTGTTCTATTGTGGGGAAGCAGGAAAACTTTTGTGGACAAGGTGGTATTTGACGTAGGCCTTTAAAGAGGAGTAAGACTTCAACTGGCGATGACCAGGAGGAGGAGAGGGAAGTCAGGAGGGGAGAAGAGAACACTTTAGATTAGGTGGAACGTGAAGTGCAGGGAAGGAAGAAGCCTGAGAAACTAGGCTGGGTTGGGTCCGTGCAAATGGCTTTCTTGTAAAATATTCGATAACTATAAAACGTCGTTTTCACTCAGGAGCTCAGTACTGTTTTTTTTTTTTTTTTTAAAGGTTTTATTTATTTATTTGAGGGAGAGAGAGGTGGGGGAGAGAGAGCACGAGCAGCGGAAGGGCAGAGGCAGAGGGAGAAGCAGGCTCCCCGCGGAGCAGGGAGCCCGATGTGGGGCCAGATCCCAAGACCCCGGGATCACGACCTGAGCCGAAGGCAGACGCTTAACCCACTGAGCCACTCGGGTGCCCCTCAGCACCACTTCTTAAGTAACCTTAGTTTTGTTCTTTGATGATGATCGTACCGCCACTAGACATCACTACTAACTGCAGTGTGAAGAGTCATTTATCTTAAAAATAGCTTCAAAGGCACAGTAAGTTCAGACCTGGAAGGTATCAGTATCGTTGAACAAAGAACACTACGCAACACAAGCTGTCGAGGCTCAGGTCAACCTCACGAGCTTACGTTCGGTGACGGCTCTGCTCTCTCACACGGCATGTCCTCTTTCCCACTTGCGCCTGGCGGCGCCCTGTGGTGCGCCCGGCCCTCGATGAAGGTGATGTAGTCTCTGTAGGAGCAGAGTGGGCCCGCCAGGATGCCCATGAAGTTGCAGTTGTAGCTCAGGTACTCCAGGAGGCTCGGCATGCGCCTGCGGGTAAAACACACGCAGCTCGTGAGACGGGGCCCCGAGCTCACCGAAAACATGGGTGCAGGAATCAGGGGCTTCCACCTCGCTGCTCTTCCCCTTTGTGCCACAAAGCAAGCTTTAATTTTCATTTGCATTCGTATGATAGGAATTCCAAAGATGAGGATGTGGTAATGCCCAGCACTATTTCTGGAGAAGAGAATTTCCATACAGATCTTTGTGAGCAACTACAAAGGGTTGCCACTGGATTTCTCCATTACAAAACAAACCTGAGACCGACAAGAGACGGCATAAAGAATCGTCCCCTACCAGTTAGTCGGTCACTCGCCCAACAAATCCATGTGTGCATTGACTACGTGCCCACACACTCCAGGGTCTAGAGATGCTACAATAACAAGGCAGAGCAATAGTCTGCACTCACAGAGCTCACATAACAGATGCAGAAAGCAGATAATTGAAAAATATGTATAAAATATTTTCAGAGGTGCTAAGTACTACAAAGATAAAGGGTTCTTCTTATATCTATGTAAGAAGGCCTTCTATAAGGCAGTGAGACAGGGAGCTATGTGAGTAACCGGGACAAGGATTCTGCGCAGAGGGAACAGTGAGTGTGAAATCCCTGAGAGGGGGTGCGTCCAGCAGCAGGGAGGCTGGTGTTGCTGAACCAGGGAAAGAAACGGGAGAAAAACCAGAGAGAACCAAGGTGAGATCATCTAGGGCTGCCTTATAAGCCATGGTAGGAACTTTGGCCTTTATTCTGAATGCAGTGAAAAAACTACAGTAGGGTTTCCGAAGAATCCCTCTAGCCCGAGTGTGGACAGGACAAGGGTGGATGTCAGAGGCCAGCCAGGAGGCCACTGGGATCCCCCGACAGGAGGTGACAGTGGCCGGGAACAGCGGGGGAGCAGCACCTGCATACGCCCTGGCAGGACAACCCGGGGGGTTTGCTCACAGACTGGACGTGGGTGCAAGAGAGTACCGAATGAAGGATGCCTTGCAACATTCGTCATTCAACTGCTTTGAGGTCTGTCCCGATGGCACATGGCATCTAAAGTTTACGGAGCTTTCTAGATCTTAATGCAAGGAACTGGGTAAAAAATACTTAGTAACACAAGAACCTATATAGACCGTATACATTATCACATAGATGAATTAGCAGTCTACGTCTTTCTTTTCCTTTTTTTTTTTTTTTTAAAGAGAGAGAGCACATGTGCAGGAGCATGAGGCAGACAGCGGGGAGGGGCCGAGGGAGAGAGAAGCTCAAGCAGACTCCCTGCTGAGCGCGGAGCCCGCCCCGCCGCGGGTCTCAAACTCACAACCCTGAGATCATGACCTGAGCCGAAATCAAGACTTGGATACTTAACTGACTGGGCCACCCAGGTGCCCCTTATTTATTTTCTACCAGCAGTTCCATTTACTAAGTTTGCTTCCCACTGGCAATTATAAACTATAATCAATAGAAGAACGACTCCACCTGAGGATGGGAAGCAGGCTTCTGGAAGACGTTATGATCCTTCCTTCCTCTCTGAGAAGTGGTTTCCTTAAAAAGCACAAACCCTCTCTGTGGCCAAGAGAAGCTGAGAGACCCCCTTATATGTACCTTTATAAAAAACAATAAACAAGAAAGCAGTGCTTCCTGTCCATCTGATACTAGCTACATCCCCACTCAGCCCAAACTCCTTTTTTAGATCTTTCCAGAATTATTCTTCTACATTTAAAAGCGTTTTGAGCCTTACATATTTTCTCTTGAAGGCTCAAAACTGAGGAGAGAAAACCGTTGCTGGCAGATTTGCTCTTGCATTTTTTTCCGTAACGCTGAAAGAGGATGCTTTCTCACTGCCCCACTTGCTGGGGTAAGCGCCCGACAATCAAAAGCCACGGAAGAACTTCCTGTGCTCCCGCCACAAATCTCCATCTCAACCCACCCCAAACAATGCCAGGTTGTCAAGGCGCAGCCCAGTCCTACCAAGTCAAACTATGTATCACAATTTGCAAGGACAGGAGATAACTCTGAACCGTGAAATCTGCTGAAGTAATTTCTGGCTCAATGGTCATATCAAGTGACGAATCATTTTCGGTACTCAATAGATAATTTTAATATTTGCTCTTAAAATGAGAACAAAGTATAACTGTAATACTTCATTTATGACATTACATGAAAGAATCATCCTTTCATTCCATAAATATTTATTTGGGATCAACTCCACATTGTCCCAGGTTCGAGCTTCTCAATCTCAGCATTACGGACTGTTTGGGACAATACTTCTTTGTTGTCAGGGGCTGTCCTGGGCACCGTAGGGTGTTTAGCGGCATCCTGGCCTCCACCCACTAGGTGTCAGCAGCACCCCCCCCTCCACTGTGACAACCAAAAATGTCTCCTGCGGGGGCACAAGCACCCTCAGTGGTGAACTGCCATCGAGGCCATGAGGACAGAGTGATAAATGGGCCAAAGTTCTATCCTCACAGAGTTTACATCAGAAAGAGAGAGGGACAAGCAAAATAAATACATAACATCAGACAGTAATACATATTGTGAAGAAAAATCAAGCAGGGCCAAGGACAGAGAGTGACGGCAGAGAAGGGGGTTTCTGACAAGGAGCTCTGTGTAGTTACGAGCGGCAGAGCTACTAGCTCTTGTCAGGTCTTGTACCTAGTGGTCCTAAGCGGTTAGTCTGCTCCCAGTTAACTACACGAGGAGCCACTGTGGGGTTTCCCTCAGAGGAGGGGAAAAATATAATCCAACACACATTACAAAGACCCCTGGCTGCTGAGTGGAAGGTAGACGGTGGAGGGAGAGAAGACAGACATCTGAACCCTGCTGGGGGAGCTGTTCCAGGAGACCAAGTAGAGAGCGAGGGTCCAGCTGGGGTGGTCTCAGTGGGACTGGTGAGAAGCCAGTCAGATCAGGGTCAGTCAGATGTCATGGTCACATGAGAGACAGGTCTCCAAGGGAGAGTGAACTTGCCAGTGAAGCAGATTTGCAGTAAGAACGCGTGAGTCTGCCCAAGTTTTCGCCCTAAGGCACTAGTGACAAATGGTGCCGCTGTGAACTAAGCCAATAGTGGGCTGGGGAGAGGGAGGAGGGAGGCAGGACTCAGGAGTTCTATTTGGAACATGTTCTATTTGAGACGCCAGCTCAGATCCATGCTGGGATGCTGAAATGGCAGTTGGCTACAAGGCTGGAGCTCGGGAGACGGGGGAGGGGGGAGGACAGTTACGAGCCCTCAGGTATGCAGACAGTATTTAGGGGCAACGGACTGCATGTGATGCCCAGAGAAGACGGAGATGTCTGAAGGTGTGCCTTGGAGTCCACGAATATTAAGTGGTGAGCCTCGCAGCGGGGGGATTCAGCAAAGATGACAGAAGTAAACAGCCACGGAGGCAAGAAGTAAACCAAGAGGGTGGTGTCCCGGGAGACGAGAGAGGAATGTTTCAGGGACTGAACGGTCCGCTGGATCGGACGGTACTGAGAGGCTGAGCTGCATGCAAACCAAGGCTGACCACTTACGCCCCCCGAGATAAAGGGTCCCCTTGAAGCATGCTATCAGACCAGCGGTGAGGACACACCCGACTGCGGGGGCCCGAGGAAGGAATGGGGGTGAGGACGGGGAGACAGTGACATACATCTTTCCCAGAGTCTTGCTCTAAAGGCTGCAGAGTAATGGGGAGGGAGCTCGAAGGGGAAGTGAGGTAAAGGTGTGTCTCCTTTCAGCGGGAAAAGATGGAGAACCAATGAGTGACCATGCAAGGGGCGGGACAACCGAGGAAGCAAAAGCCTCGAGTTAAAGAGAAGCAGCTGGATTCAGTGAGAAGTGAGAAGCTGGCCTCGGACTGGATGAGGGACAGTGAATCCTTGGTATGGGACAGAAAGAGGATTATTTGTTACAGACACAGGCAGTCTGGCAGGTTTAGTGGTAGCAAAATGAAGTAGGGCTGCCTTTCTTTTCTCCAAGAATCAAACTTTGCTACCACCCTAAGTGAGTGCGGGGGAGGGAGTGCTGTAAGTCTGAGGAAGGAGCACACAGGAGCTCATGGTGGGGGGGCGGGGAGCGCATGGGACAGATGCAGCCGAACTCCTGGCAACACTAAGGCCATGATTCTAAATTTGCAGTAACGCACTCAAAACAGGTCCAATCTGCAATGAATGTTTTCCACTCTGCTTTCTTCCACTGTTTAGGTAGGCAGAGAGTCGAATTTAATAGGGTTTGGGGTTTTGCCAGGTGGGTGTGTGGGAGGGAAAGGCAGAAACGGGGGGGGGGGCGCTGAGTGTCTCTTAATGAGAGGTTTAGGGATGGGCGAAGGACGCCTAAAGATTACAGAACCCAGATCAAAGTAATCTCTCTGAGTATATTCAAATGTATACCTACTGATATGTAAATACTGACTATAGAGAATATCAAAATAGAATAATCTTAAAGATGGGGAAAATATAAGAAGATTCCCAAGACATGCTACCAAAAGGGTCTACCTACTATCACAAGCTTAACCTCATTCTTCTGACAGCCATGCATCTGTTTGTTCTAGATTTACCGAAAACAAGGGGCTTCCTAGGAATTTTTCTTTAGGTAAAATGATTCAATCTCTAATTATATTAGGTTAAGATAGAGCCTTCCAAGAAATTAAGCTATTCCTTAGATTAGTCAACAGAGTACTATCATAAATGAAGTAGAAGCCTACCCAGAATGAATTCCTCAAATAATACCGAGAAGGTCTTACTGGTTCTTCATTATTTCAAAACATGGTGTCTATGTGTTGTATTAACATATCTTAGCCCAGTAACTGCCATCAAGTTATCGGTCTATAAACAGAAGCAGCGATTATCACTCATTACTACATGGCAGACATGAAGACTGTCTTCAGGGAACTCAGAAAATCATAGGAGAGAGAGAAAATTTAGTGATATCCGTGTGGTACATAAGCAGCACATCCTGTAGGCTGATATATCCAAGGTGCCATGGGAGCCTTACAAGGGACAGGTAGCCTAGCCTCGCAAGATGTGGTGGCAGGGCGGTGTGCGGAGGGAGGAAAGTTTGGTTTTCAGGAAGTCAGTACCGCCAACAGGATGAGTCAGCCTTAGCCATGAGAGTGAAGTGCATCTGAGGCAGAGACCGCGCGAATCAAGGCACGACACGGTGAGAGAGAGCACGTACCTTACAGCCAACCCCCTCTGTGATGACGTCAGTTCTTCATCCTTTCGAAACATCCCTGAAAAATAAAAACAGGGACTTTTATCAGTTATGGTTTCCTCCAAGAAAAGAATGGTGTTTTTCCCCATTCACACTTCCACCACTTTTCTCATTGGAAATTCAAGCTATAATCCCAATTTTGGAATCACTGGTTCCTTTCTTTCTCATTGCAACACAGGTTCAAACACATCAAAGGATCACCATGTAACCCAACACATCTAGGTCTGTAGGAGATAAACACCACAAATCAGGGCACAAATCCGACTCTTCTCTAGAGGAAATCATTATTAACTTAAAAATTCCAAAATGCTAGTATATTTTATAGCAAACACTATGACTTTCAAAAGGGGGCATTAAGATGTTTCTATTATTAGATGATTTAAATGACTAATCAGTATTATGGGCTACAAGCTCAACATAAAGCAAGGAATGATTTCCTTATCTCTCAATGACTCTAAGGAATGAAAACTGTACTTACACACCTTCTCCATCCATTTCTTTACCTTCTCTCCCCAAAGAGGAGGATACGATTTACAATTACACATCAACTTACTAGATTCTAAGCCCAATTTAAAGACCAAAGGAGGACTAAATTAAGAGGCAAACAATATACTTAAAAATTATTTGTAGGTCTTCCATAGGAGAGGGTACAGGATGGGTGATCTATATATACAGTGGGGCTAGAAGCCCCATGCAAGAAGCTCCCTAGGCCACTACGAATGACAGGTCTGATGGGGATGCTCCTCCAGTCTGTGAAGAAACCAGAGTCAAACTCGTGACTCACAGCCCAGACTTTTAGCATTTCCTATGGCAAGGTGTCCATTCACTGAAGATATAAAATACGAATATATAAATATTTATGCTAAAAATATATGTAACTGTGTGTATTATATATTAAGGGATAAGGGGCATGGGGAAAACATCAAATATTAATAAAAATGTAACACAGAGATGAAGCAGGGACTAATACCACTTGATTGAGATCAAATGTCTATTTCCTTTATATTTTAAATTGCCACTAATGTGGGTCCTATGACAGGATCCCATTCTTTTACTCTGTTTTTGTCACTGGATCAAGTGTGAAATTGAGATTAAACACTGCAGAAAAATAAATACACTTTAATGTAGACAGAGTTAAAGATTCCCCTCTCTGACCTCCTTAAATACAGAGCAGAAAGTTAGGGTCATATCTCAGGTGAAAGTACATTTGAATAGGATTTCTTTCAGCGACAAAAGATTAATTTCTAAATTCTTACCATCATGAATTTCGTAAGCCAAACTAGTGATCTTCTGGGTAATTATCATCATTGGGCTGTGACAAAATAAAAAAAAACAAGTATTTGAAAGCAGAAACTTAAAATAATACTTAGGATGTATGAAAAAGAGTTTACTCTGCTTATACAACTACAAAATTCTGACATTTTTTAACATACAAAACGATTTTGAAGGGATTTCAAAGAGATAATCCAGGGGTTGCTGTGTTTGGGGTAGGTATAGGAGCTGATGGATCCAGGTCTTCTCCCTTGCTTTAAAAAAAAAAAGCAGGAAGGGAGGGAGGGAGGGAAGAAGAGAAGGGAAGGGCGGGCAAGGAGGCAGGCAGAGAGAGAGAGAGAGAGAGAGAGAGGGAGAGAGAGAGGGGGAGAAACGCCTGCTCAAGCTCCACCTGAGACCCTGAGGGAGGAGCAGCCCCCCCCGCGCCCCCCCCCCCCCCCCCCCCCCCTCCCCCGCCGTTGGCGACCTAGAACTCGAGGCCAGTGGAAAGAGCCCCCAGGCATCAGGCGTGGCCGGGGCTTTCTGATTTTGAGTTTTCAACATACCACGCTGCCTTTTGCCTCAGCTGACCTACAGGTGGAAAGTGAGTTGGGAAAAGGGGAATAGGGAGAAAATTAAAAGAGGCTGGGTGAGAATGTAGAAGAGAACAGGAGGGATGGGGGGCAGAAAGAGGACACTGCCCGGCTTGCTGGTCGGGGACCCCGGGGCTAAGGGCCTGCGAGAGCTGCCCTTGGCCTAGAGCACCCTTTAAAGAGGGCTCCAAGCCATGCCACAATCAAGAAAATGGCAATCGTTTTGCCATATTTTATAATCTCTAATTGAATGGACAGTTTGGAAAAAAAAATAAATAAATCCACATTTTGAAAGCCACCAGGATATACATTTATCCTTTATTACGTTAGCTTACAGACATTCATGGTACAGAACAATTAATCACAAGGTATTTATTTATATTTTTGGAATTTCACGAAAACCGGGAACTCCTGTTTTGCCTACAGGTAGAGTGTGAGCGTCACCTGCTCGGAGTCCAAATGGCCTCCGCTGCGCAGGGAAGGCAAGGCGTTGGGGACAGGCCAGCCACGCCACCAGCGAGTGCAGGAGGAAGCTCAGACCCCACCACAGAGACCCGGTGCTCTTCCACCTGGCCCAGTGCTCAGCACGAGTGGTCAGTGTCCACTCCACCTCTGGCCAAACAGGAGCATCCTTCAACACGTAAAGAAAGGAGGACGCCATCGGGGGCCATGAGAACTTACGGCTCATTCTCCTCACCCAGCAGGCAAGAACTCTCTCTCTCTCTCTCTCTCTCTCTCTCTCTCTCTCTCTCTCTCTCTCACACACACACACACACACACACACACACACACACACACACACACAC